TATATTTCTCTAAAAATGCTATCATGTGTTGTAAATCCATTTAGTTAGATAATTAGTAAATGACATAAATATTTACAAACATATATTATCTTATATATATATAATGATGATTTAGTTTCGCGTTAAATTTAGCTGTAATTATTAAGCACATTCTCTCTCAAAAGTGTTATGAAGATCGTAAAGAAAAAACAAAGGTATATAGGTAATATATATGCACGTCAAAAATCCCTTACACAAATCTTAATATAACTTAAAAAGGCAATGTAATGTAACTACTAGCCACGAAAAAAAAATTTTTCCATTTGAATATTTTGAAGTCCGAATGCCATGATCATATTGCCCCAATATGTAAATTTATAATAAAAATCTAAAATTACCTTATTGACCAACATCGCTTTAACATTCGACGTCAATTTCGACATCTGTGGTTATTACGGCTACATCGTGTAACATAGGCCAAAGGGAATTTATAAATTAATACATGTGTGCGTTTGTGTGCTTTGCGTGTGTGCATACACTGGCTGTATATACATATGTGTGTGCGTGTTCGTATTTGTGTCCGGGTTAATTATTGATTGTGGATGATGTTAATAGGTCGTAAATAAATAATAATAAATAATAATACACGTAATAATAATAAGGTTGGTAATTGGTGAGAATGTAGTTGGGAAAATTAAAAATTATTAAACTTTAACTAAAATCAACTAAAATCAACTAAAATCATAGTAGCGAGAACATTGATTATTGATCAATCGATAAAAGAATTTATTTAATTTATTAATTTTATTTCAATAATTGGGAAAATTTGGTAGATCTAAATATTTTTACACAGTGTATATAGTTACATAATATTACACAATCTTGAAAACCAGTTTATGTCGGTTTTTTTTTATATTAACTGTTAAATCAAAACACAAAAAAAAAATCTTAATTTAGAAAAAAATAAGAATGTGATCAATGTGTAATCAAATTAAGGGAATTTGTGAACATAACAATCATCGTCATCATCATCATCATCATCATCATTACACTACGTTAAAAAACTGGTCACATGTACAAATTGAAAAATTTTGTTGTTGGGTGAGGAAATTTATCAATTTTGTTATGAATGAACGCGAGTAAAAAATATTCATTTTAAATAAAAACACAAATAAAAATAAAAACAATCATTTAAGTTTTTATTTGCAAAAAAAAAAAAAAAAACAATGAATTAATTGGTGTTGATTGATTGGTTAACCGAATTACAAATTGGAAAGCTAGAATTGATTGCCAATGCATGTTAAATGGGCGAAGAGAGATTTAGTTTCTTATTGATCAGGCTTAGCTATTAATTATAATTATTAATGTGGCGATCAGAAACAATGATTTTTAATAGAAAAAGAGAGTAAAATAATATTGGTTAATTTATTATTTAATTTACATTACAATAATGGTTAGTATTATCTGTTGAGTAATGTACGCATGTACAATATGTATGTAACTGGTGATGTACAAGTATGTAGGTGAAAGAGTGTGAGAGAAGAGAGAATTGTAATTATTTGTAAAAGAAGAATTAAAAATGCAGAAGAGGCGAATTGAAAAAATTCACATTGTTATATCCACAAATATCCATTATTGGTATATTTTAATACTGATTGATTAATTTGACCCTGGGAAAAATCGGAAAATTAATTTGTTTAAAAATGGATATTACATCACAGGACATGATAATATATTAATAAATTAAAATTTGGTGGTTCTTTGTGATTATTGCTAATTAATTAAAAAAAAAAAAAAAAAAAAAAAAGAAGGAATTCAAAATTTTATTAATCATTTATTTTTTTTATTTTTAAGGTTTCTTTAATTATGAATTCATATGTGAATCATGCAAATATTATTTAAGGGGATGAAAAATTTATTATTTATTTATTTTGAATAATCTCCAAATTTCCATTTATATAATGTATGAGACTTGTCATCACATTATACACTATACTTATTATTGAATATTCCATCCCAACAACATTCATCAAAAAACATGATAGTTAAAAATAATGAACTGGTTGTGAATTGGCGGCGAGTTAATAAAATGAAAGCGTACAAACGGAATCAACCGTAAAAAAAAAAAATTTTTTTTAACAAATAATAAGCTAAATTTGGCAGTGAAAATCCCCCAAACAAGTTTTCTTGTAAGCTCATGCAGGGATTTTTTATATTACATTATATTAAAATGATCAGGTCAGTAAGTGTATGTTTGCTGGTATGTAATGCTAAACTTTGAAAATTAAATTAAAAATATTTAAAAATGAACTTTTTTTGTGACATAATCAAGAGTTTTGTATCTAAAAATAAATTTAAAGTTATTTTATTTATTTGAAATTTTCCTCATATAAATTTATTCGTATAACACACAATTTTTTGGCAAAATAACAGATAATAACAATAACAAATACTATTATATTATTATTATTTATTTATTATTTATTACTACTCTCACTACTTACCACACTTTTAAAAACTTTAATTTTAATTTTAATGATTAAACAAAAAAATACGGTTTGTTTTTTTAAAAAAATTTGGAAATGTATGCGAGAGAAAATTCTTTTTTAGGCAAGCTAGTTAATTTTTAACATTTAAATTCTTGGAATGCAGCAAAAAAATTCTCCAAACCAATTAAACAACACAACAACCCAACAACCCATCAATATCTATCTATTCATTCAATTAATTAAAACCACACAAATAAATTATTTTACTCTTTGATCAATTGATTTTCTGATATTATTTTCACATGTGTATGAATTAACATTTTTCTTTCCTATTTTTTTTTTTTTTTTAAGATTCAAAATTCATTTTTTTTGCATTATAATAAATAGTGTACCTATCATACGCAGTATGTAATTGAATACGTGTGTTACCTCGTGTGATTGTTAAAAAAACCTTTACAATCAAAAAAACAATGATATAATTCAATTTCGTGCTATAATCTTATTTATTTTATATAAACTTTAGACACAATAGACACAATGGATTATTATGTGATGTAATATATATTCATATGAAATGGATTAATGAATGAGGGAGTGAAGTGGGTTCAGACAAATCAATATGTATTAGTGATCTAATATTTTGGTGATTGAATCTGACTATTGCCCCAATTAAAAACGTTTATTCCACTCACCATTATATATATATATATTGAATGAATGAATGGATGGATGAATGGATGAAAAATGATACTATACGATATATTATAAGATACACAAAAATGTATGCGTTGAATTTGTCTGTATGCGCGTGTTATTTATTTTTTATTTCAGGGAAAAGGATGGAGGCGTGAGATAGTTATTTATATAAATACTATTCGCTATTGCTAAAAACTTAATAATTAAAAAAAAAAATCAACAAGCAATGCAATTGATGGCGTAATGTTACATATTGTATGTGTATAAACTATACCAAAGTTAGTCAAGTTTTGGTCATGTGAATATAGAATATTTTTTATTTTTACTAATTTTTCCATTTTAATCATTTTAATATAGAAGTAATTCATTTTCTTTGGCTCTCTTTTATATTATTAATTATTAATTCTTTAATTATAATTAGTTAGGTCATGCTCGTCTTTTCAGCTTGCTTTACTATTCTTTTATTGTTTTTGCATTTTTGTTTACTTTCTTTTTGACCGACAACAATAGTAAATACCTGAGTCTAGTACTTTCTTTTCCTCGATGCTTTTTAATAATAATTACCAATCAATCTATTAATAATCCCAGTGATATATATAATATATATGATGCAATATAAACTCAACTGTATATATCAGAGATTTAAATTTTTTATAATTTTTTGATTTCGTAAATTTTAATCAATAAGTTTTTATTAGTTAATTAGAATTCGGTAAAATCCATAAACGCGCACACATTACACACATTTTTAATTAACTTTCAGTTAATTAATATCAATTAATATTTGGTAAAAATACGACATGTTAACAAAGTAAAAATACTTGGATGACTATTTATTATTGTATTATATTTATTTACTATTTATATAAATATAAATAAATATAAATAAATAAATATTAAACCCTACAAAAACCCCTATGGTTTATTTATTTATTGATCAATATTAATAAAAACATTAATAATAAATTAATTAATTAATTAAAAAAAAATTTAATATAAATAAAAAATTTTTTTATATTCAAAGAACGTAAATTTTAAAATTTTATTTAATCATCACATAACAACAAAATAGGGGGATTTTACATTGTATAATTCAACATTATTAATCACTTCATTATATATTATTTTTATAAAAATTGAAAAAAATACTTTTTTTAATTTTTTTTTTTTTGTTCGTTTTTTTATAAAAAATATTTATAATTTACATAATTTATATATATATAATTTTATAACTTCTATAGCATCATCTATCTTTTAGTCGGGGTCTTTATAAAAGATTTTTTATTTGTTTTTCATGTTTATTTAAAAAATTATTTTTCTTCACTTTTTTTTTCTATAAAAACAAAACTTGAAAAAAAGAGTAATAAATAAAAAAAGAAGAAATTGAATAAATGAATTAAAGAATAAACGAACCACAACTAACCAAGTATAAACGAACGAATGAACGACTAAGGGCAGATTTTCTTTAAAAAATTTAAAGCATTAAATATATAATCAATAAAAAATTTAAAAAATTATAATTCTTTCCTATTGGTGATTTTTATCTTTTTAAAAATTTATATTTTTATTTTTTTAAATTAATTAACTTTTTCTCATTTTTACACTCACAATATTCAAATCCACCTTTAACTTTAAATCCTTTCTCCTACTTTCCATCTTTCACACACACACACACACACATACACGTGCATTCTATCTATTCCTAATAGTTTTCATTGCATATTTATTATATAATTATACTAACTTCATTCCATTACAAATTTAAAAAAACTTTTCTTTGAAATTAAAATAAAATATATTCTTCAAAAATTAATAATGAATAGCAGAAAAAACAACATGAATAATAATGCATCGTCAAATAACTTCAACAACTCTACCATAAAAAACAGCAACAGCAATAATAATAATAATAATAATAATAACAACAACAACAATAATAAATGGTCGATTGGAAGAAAATCTATAATAAAAAATCTTCCATCCGTACTCAACAATCAAAAAAAATTATCAAATATTCATGAATTTCTACTAGACGAACCATTTTTTATTCAAAAATCTTCCACAAAAAATTCATCTACCAACAATGAAATTGAAGTTGATGCCGAACCAGAATCTAAAAAAGATCCATTGACAACTTCTATCTGGCGACTTTACACAAAAGCTAAAGATAATTTGCCTCACGGTATCAGAGTTGAAAATATTACTTGGAGGATGATGGCAATTTCTTCACTGAAAAAAAATCAAGGAAAAGAAAAAGAAAACAATATCTTTGAAAATCTCTCAGATAATGATAACGACGATAATAAAACTAGTATTAATGTTAATAGGCGTAATAATAATGGTTTAAAAGATTCTCCAAAAATTTCAGACACTATTTTAAAGTAATTATTTACTAATTCAAATATTTTTGTTCTTATTTATTCCTTTACGCTACTAATTATTACTTTTTTTTTTTTACAATTCTTATTACATTTACAGAAGTCAGATAATTGGAAATTCTGAAATATATGATAATAACTTTGATATAGATATGGACAACGATAGCAATCAAAATGTTATTCCATTTATCAATAAAACATTCAATTACATCAATGATAATCATAACAATAGTAACAATAATTATACATCCGATGAGTTTATTGATTTTGCCGATAACGAAACAATATTATTCGAACACACTGGCATAGTCACTTCACCATCTGACACCAGCACAACTAACACTGATGATAATTACACCTCACCTTCTTCACCCGTCTTGACTTCAAAAACTTCCGCTATTCCAATTCCACCGGCTCAATCTTCTTCAACCAACAATAACAACTTTATTCATAATAATACAAACAGAATCAATAATAACACAATGATGGATATCTCTTCAATGGGTTATACTTTTGATATTGACTCTAATGAAAATTTGAATCAGTACCAATCAAATTTTTTAAGTAGAATGGTTGGGAAACAAGATCATTACAATGATCGTCCAATACTTGTGCCTGTATCTAGATCCAATAATAATAATAATTTCGATTTACAAAATACAATGATTTTTGAAAAGGTTTTTTTTTTTTTTTTAAAGTAAAAATGATATTTATAATATTCTAATTAATCTATATTATTTTTTATTTTATTTTGTTAGTCACAAAAACCAAAATCTACAAATTATCGTCAAGCATCAAGGTTACCAAGTATCACAATCCCTAATGATACTCCTCCTGATGACTCAAATGTAGAATCGGAGTCAATGTCATCTTCCATTACAACCACATCAACGACCAATCAATTTGCCTTCTCAGATCCTTATACTTCTCATTTTGGTCAACCAATAACAATCGATTGCTCATCTAATGCATCGCAACTGTCACTACCACAATCTCAACCCCCGTCAACAACTACATCCTTAATGAACATTTCAGTTCCTCATTATCATTATTCTAATAATAATTTCGCAAGCCCTGGTAGTAGCATCAACGATAATTCGTTATCGTCATTCACCACCAATCACCACCAATCAACTAGTAATACTCCATTAACACCCATAGATAATAATGGGTTTTATTTTGATTACAACAATAGCACAGCAGAATTTTGTAATGGTGATAATAACAATATTAGTAATGGTGCTAACAACAATATTTTTGGAATGGTTAATATTTATTATGTAAATTCTGAATCAAATGATAATCAATTAGCAAATACGTCATCATCTCACATCAATAATCATAACAATTTATTATCTTCATCTTATGATCTAATGTCAACTGATCCCATCATCTTACATCCAAATATAGAAAATTGTAAAATAAAAACGCTAGATTCCGATTATAATCGTTGGAATAATAACAGCGTCAACAATGATGCTAACAATAATTTAATTGACGATCAAATAATACCATCATCTATAACTGGTAGTTGTGATGACAACAATAATAACCCCAAAAGACAATCATCAATAAGTATTGTCAAAAATTCAAATTCTCCTATTACCTCACCAAATTTACCTGACACTATAATATCACCGTCACAATCAACGACGACGACGTCGACGACGTCACCAACAATTGCCATCACTACTAAATCTGTAACAATGTCGTCAGGTAAAAGACAAAGATCATCATCACGGTCATCAACACATCCACAATTAAATACAAACTTAATAAAAGCATCAAGCTCTACACCTACATCACCGATTTCGCCAATTTCACCAATAACTTCTACAACGCTGACAACATCACCCAAATCGATGCCATTATCGATTGACAACAAAGACGGCAGTAGCAACAACTTATCATCATCAAAAAACTCAATACCTACAACTTGTACAAATTGTCTTACCCAAACCACACCATTATGGCGTCGCAATCCTGAAGGTCAACCATTATGTAATGCTTGCGGTCTTTTCTTAAAATTACATGGTGTGGTCAGGCCTTTGAGTCTAAAAACTGACGTGATAAAAAAACGCAACCGTAATGGCTCGACATCAACAACTAAAACCTCTGGTAATAAAACTGGTAAGAGTACGGTTCAAATGGGTCCTGGTGGCCCAAGTATGGGCGTCATGGGTAAAAGAGTTTCATTATCGATGACTTCAAAGCAACATCATCAACACAATAATCCCATGAACGCTCTTATGAACGGCACTGGTGGCTTTAGTAACAATAGTATGCAACAAACAACTGCTTCCATATTATCAACATCTGCTCCAACTGCCGCAACACAATATCCAAATATTGCATCAACAACAAATGACTCTTTTCAATCAATAACAGCTACTGTCGCATCATCATCAAAACGTCAAAGGAGATCGTCAAACGACGAACAACAAATATTGTATACTTCTCAAATATACAGACAGTTGGATAACAGCTCGGTTGTTCTAGAATATTGAAATTGATCAATTAATTTTTTGTTTAACTAATAAATATTTTGAAATGTAAAATTTTTCTAATCTTTATTATTAATAATTAATAATCGAAATAAATAATTTAATAATTTAAATAGAACAACAAAATCAAAAAAGTAATCAAAGACAAACATTTCATTTGATGTCGCAATTAGTAACTGTTAAATATATATATGTATATATAGTATATAGCATATAGTTGGTAGATTACAGAAGTTGTTTATATGGATTTTTTTTTTTTTAGATTTTATAAATACATACATACATACATTTATATAATACGTTATTATTATATAAATAATTATAAATATATAAATATACATAAATTCTCACACTCACCCACATACATAATACAATTAAAAAAAAATTAACGCGTTTTTTTTTACTTTTTTACTTTTTATCATATTATAAAAAAATTTTATAATCGAAGTTATTTAATTTTTTTTTAAGTTTATTTATTTTTTTGCGTGGAATTCGTATAATTTTTGGCTTTATTATAATCGAATTATTTACGTTTTTTTTTCATCATCGATCAATCAATCATAATAATAATAATAAATAACATGGATAATATCAATTCTTAAAGAAAAAAAATTTTATATTTATCAGTTTTTTTTTTTTTTACAAAAAATTTTTCTTTTTGTTTCTTTTTATAAATATAAATAAATACATTACAGAAAGAAATGATTGATTACATTTAAGAAAATATTTCATGTAAAATTTTCTTTCGTAGTGTTGTAATTACTTTAAATCAAATTTTTAATGACATACAAAATAATATAAAACAGATAATCAGATCTCGCATGTCGGTGATCACCATATTAATATGTACAACGAAAAAACCGTTAACGGATGGATAAAAAAAATGAATTTCTTTATTTTATTATAGCAGGTAGTTACAACATAAATGTATGTTTACTAACCATTTCTTTCAATAGATACAAAAAGTTATCAGAATAAGAATGAAACTTTAATAGGTGAGGGTATTGATATAAGAAGGAAAGACAAAAAATCAGAGGATTTTAAAAAATACTCTCTTGTGACAAGTTTTAATAAAAAAAATAATCATTGGACCGTAACAATGAATGCCAATGTAATAGTAATTTTGATTCACTGTGGTTTATTTCGTTTTTTAATTAATATATCGGTCAAAATCACGTGATCAAGTGAAAATTGCCCAAATTTCTAGGAAAAATATTTTGGAGAAGGTAAATCACACCACTTTTCTCACACGCATAAAAAAAGATTTAATTGAGTGGAATGAAAACAAACTATCAAGAGATGAATGAATACAATGAATTAAGGTCAGAATCAAACTCTGATGAAAGTGAATGATCGTTTTATGAGATCTCATTGATAACATGCAAAATTAAATCGCCCAAACGTATGCTTACTATATTGTATCGTTGTAAAAAAGAAAGCAAAAGGGGACAGTTCAACAACACTTGATCCCATGTAAGAATAAATAAATAAAAATGATTTAGAATGAGAATATGGACATTGCTAGAAATGGGTAGATCAATATTATACGTATAGATAGTTCTAGAACTATATAGTAATAGTAATAATATCGGTGCCTTAAAAAAGCTTAAAATGCTTTTTTATCAGTAAACAATAGCAAATTTTCCAAAGCAAAAGGAAAATAAAAATGAATAGTTATTTTGGTCAAAGTAAAAAATTGAAATTTTATTTTAATTTTTGTTGAATTTTATTTTGCAAATAAAAATAAAAATAAACTCGCTCCCCCAGAGCATGAGGACGGATGAAAGGGTGAGGAGGCATCCCTCGCTCTCTAATACGGCAACTAACTTCCACGAATCCCCATGGTAGGGTTTGAACTAACAACCTAGCAAGCGCATATTTCACCGCTTACAAAGTTGAGAATTCAGGACGGAAATTGCCAAAAATTTTAATTTGTACTAAATAATACAGACAAAATTTTAAATTTTGGCAGAAATTATGGCCGAAATCATATACTCTGAATATGGCAATTATCAACATTTTATAAGAATAATCATTCGCATAATTATTACAGTTAATGTCAATATAGTGAACAAGCTCACAACTGAGAACGCAATGTAAGCTTTTGCTTTTTGTGTTACAAATCATGCACACCATGCTACGCAAGAACAAAATTCATTATTTTAAGTTGGGTTTGGGATTGCATCTTTGTCGCAAAGAGCAAAAAAATGACATCACTCAAGCCAAGACAGTAGACTATTTATTAAATCCAAATAGGACAGCCGTTCCCACATTTTTTTTTGAAAAATTTGAGTATTCTGGAACAAATCAGGTCTTAATCTTTATAATCATCCTCAAGAAATGATGATTCATTGTTGTTTGCTACTTGTTTAACACTGATGGATCATCATATATTACAGATGTAACCAATCAAGTCAATTAATGAATTTTATCTAAATAAAATAAACAATAAAAATTAACAAAAGAGAAAGGTCATGTCACGAAGGGTCAATACACCCAGCATGAGGCACCACCAAGAGTTTTACTATCTCACTTGCTAGACTTTAATAACACATTTAAGTGAGTCACATGGTTGTACCTAAGGTTGTGGGTGAAACCTCCTTAGTAATTGCTGAAACCATGGCAAAACTATATTAAATCTTATCAAAAATCCTGTTGAAACCATGCAGAAATGGTGAAACTCAAAATGCGAAACTCTGCTGAAACTCTAATAAACAATTAATGTGCAACCTGCCGAAACCTGCTGATTGATTTCTGGATGAGTTTTGGCAAGCAACCTTAATTGTACCCCAAGATGAGTACTAGTAATGGAAAAATGAGTCGTTATATACCAACTTTTTTCAAGTTGTGCATGAGATTTATACAGTTTACAACATTTCATTGGACAAATTCTATTCCATAATTTTTATTGTGTAATCTAAAAAATAAAAATTCAATTGAAAAAAATAGAGTTGACGATAGGTTGCAAGTTTGTGAAAGTAACTGTTAAATACAAGATGTGTGACAATGTACAAAGCTTCCAAAGAAGTTTGTAAGATATACTGATGAATATTTGTTAATTATTCAATAGTTTGTATAGACGCAATCAAAGTAAGTGTTAAATACAAGATCTTAGAAGTTTGCAAATCAAGTTTTGCAAACAAATGTTTATCAATTATTCAATAATTATATAGGAGGGTTTGACCAAAGTAAGTGTTAAAGTCGAGATCTATGAATCTGTTTGTAGAATATATTTAATGAACATTTTATCAATTATTAAATAATCACATAGGTGGATTTGATTGAAGTAAGTGTTAGACAAGATCTATGAAGCTTGCAAAACAAATGTTTATCAATTATTCAATAATCATATAGGCGGGTTTGATTGAAGTAAGTGTTAAAGTCAAGATCTATGAACTCACAAATCAAGTTTGCAAAATGAACATTTTATCAATTATTCAATAATTATATAAGCGGGTTTGATCGAAGTGTTAAAATTGAGATCTATAAAGCTTGCAATTCAGCTTTGCAAAATGAATGTATAGACATGATCAAAGCTTTTAGTAATAAACAAATAATAAATTCAATTGTCAATTAATTAAGAAGTAACCGAATAATAAATTCAATTGTAAATTCATAATACTTTTCTTAAAAGTAAAACAAATCAATGATCCAAAAAAATAGGACATATGATAATAATAGTAAAAATGTTTTTTAGCATTTTTAGTATATAATAAACAAATAATTAATTAATTAAACACATAATACTTTTCTAAATCAATGGTACTCTCCAAAAAAACAGGACAAATGATAATTTGTAAATTGTAAAATGGTTTTAATAACAGAATGATGCTTTTCTTATAAAAGTAAAATAAACAAATCAACGGTATGATCTACTATATATTAAATGAAAAAAGAAAGATGCTTTGCCACCACCAAAAAGTTATCCTTAGTAGCATATATATATATATATAGTATAGTGCGGGTCACACTAACACATCAAATAAAAATTGACCAACTTTAAAACCTATAAAGAAAATATTGTGTGCTTGTCTGAAAAAATTAGAGACGATATTTGATAGCTTTTGACTAGTTCTACAATCTATCGTCTAGATATTTTTA